CGTCACATCAGATTTGCAACATGTCAGACGTCTGATCACGCGAGATCCTGTAACTACAGTAAAGTGTAAGGCTGCGCTGGAGTTATACCCTTCTGTAAAAAAAGTACAAATATTTAGGACCCTTATATTACAAAGTAGCTTAAAAATATACCCTTACAGAAAAAGTGGCAGCAAGCGATTACCCTTATAAGAAAGAGTACTTCTGATCCTATCCAGAGGCCTAGTGACAACCTGTGACACAGGCAACCTGTGACTGTTTGCCTGCAAGGTGGCATGACGATGGTCCTCCTCACCATATACGCGATCACGTGCAAGAATCATCAAAAATTGGCACAAAAGAACTGACTACAACACAGTTCAATTCCAGTTCATAAACATAAAAGTGTCATTCCATAGCCCCCGGGCGTCATACAAAATGTTGTCGAGAAGCTAGTCTAGGTAGTAATGGGAGGAGCCATGAACATGGCGTGAGATTAGATCTAGAAGGTAGGCGAGAATGTCGAGAGAAAAGAGAGTTAGGAATTGAAGAGAGAGGGATACAAGGAGGGGTGTTGTACCTGAAATAATTCCACAGGTGTTGTAGTAGACTAAGTATAAAACTGCAAACACGAACACTTGGAAAATCCTCAAGTGTTGGTCCAGGATCTTTGCTGGAATGGTAGACTAGTAAGACACCGGAATTCTTGTAAAATGTAATAGTCAAGGTTGAATAACCTGAGTATATGAACTTGTGGGTAATCAGAAGTTGATAATGAAAAGACCTAACAAGGATTTTATAGTTCTAGGAAAAGTACCTATTCGCTAATGTACCTATTCGTCACTATCGCGCTATGCGCCCTAGATGATAATGAAGAGGTACGACTGTTCGCGTGACTGAAACGACTGTCCTATGACGAGCGCTATTTGCTGACGTCATCCTACGGACTTATCTTCTACAGTATGATTTGATACTAACTACACTTAACCGACTTACAGAAATGCTAAGTATCAATTATATCACAACAGTACCCTCTACAGTAATGTTCAGTAACCACTACCAAGCCTACAATTATATACTAAAATATAATTAACAAATGTGCCATTAATTATACCCCCTCCAATTTTTACATGGATTTTTCCTAACACCCCTGGGTGTTTTATCCGAGGGAATACGGTACTTGGGCCACGCGCTTTAAAACACTCAAACCAAACAATGTACAATCTATACCATGGTCTGGCAGATTTGTTTACACTCCCCAAGTGGTACGATTATACCATCGGCTCACATTACGATTCACGAATCACACGGCCAAGAAGGAAAGGGCAAGCAGCAAAAGGAAGCAATACAGGATGGCTGCATGTGCTTTGAATGTGGGGCAGCCTGCCACAGGGACAGTAGCTGCCCCACCCACTGAACCAGGAGTGCCATTTCCAGCAATGCTATTGCCAGCAGTGCCAATGCCTCGACTCGAGCCATCCCTGCTGCCAATGCTGGTGCCATTGCCTGGAGCCATGTTGCTCCCCGTGGGCCCCACATAGGGCACGGCCGGGTCAGTGTACCAATCAGGGACGGCAGCAGCAGGGTTCACTGGCCACGGGAGCTCAGCAGCAGAGGCAACAGTCACCAGGTGGGCAGTCGCCATCTCATCGCCCCTGTACGGGCCATCAGATGCGTTCACAACTTCTTTTGTAAATTCTGTAAAATTAAACGTAGGGTGTGCTTTCCTGTACCCATAGGCCTCCTTGACGTACTCAAGGTGGGAGGAGTTGTCCTGGTGGCGCTGTGCAAAGCTCTGGTTCTTGAGCCACCCCTTGAAGTCCTCGCACAGCATGCCGTGGATGAGCGCTGTCCTCGCCAGGTCATCCTCTTTACTGAGCGGTGCGGCGCGCACAGCACCTGTGGGCTCATGAGTCGTGAACACTCCCGTGCACTGCCACACCCAGCTCTGCGGTTGGGCGATCCCCCCCCCCCCATCCTTGCACTCTCTGTTGCAACCTTCATGCCTTGTGCCCAAGCGCCTGTCCCCATGGTTGCCACAGTCTGGGAGCAGTTCACCTGGGGCGTGGCAGTGGGCCCCACCAGCGTGACCACGGTGCCGAGCAGCATGTCGTCCACCTGCCGCGCCAGGTCTATGGACGCAGGCGGCTGGGCAATGCCCGAGAGGGCGACGTGGTAGCGCAGGAGAAAGGCCTCGTCGAGTACCGTGCCCATGATCGTGTCGTAGGGGCTGCCAGGGAGGCACAAATGCAGGGAGGCACAGGTGCAGGGAGGCACAGGTGCAGGGAGGGGGGATTTAGGGCAGAGGGGGGGGGGGAGAGGGAGAGTAAGGTTGGCATGGTGTGGGCCGTGCGGCGGGAGGAGGACGCGGTATCCCGGCGGAAAGGCCCCGTTCACCACCGAGCCCTCAACCTTATCGCAGGGGCTGCCAGGTGGTGGCGAAAGGACTGGGGGCAGGGGGGAGGAAAGAGGGAGGATGATGATGCTGGCAGACAGGCAGGCGGTTGCGAGAGGCAGGAGGGCGTGAAGTCGCAGAAGAAACGTCTCTCCACTTGAGTAGCAACAACACTGCTTGCGAGCGATTGCTAGTGAATGACGGGAAGGCACGGGTGCAAGGAGGGAGGTTTTCGGCAGGGTGGGGAGAAGAGGAAATTATAAGGCCGATAGGGGGTGTGTGGATTAGGGAGTGGGGGGTAGGGCAAGAGGCGGCATATACTGTCAAAGGGGGTATCTGATGCGGTGAAATGAGACTTTGCTCTCGGACAACATTGTAAGCATAGCACGGAAGGCTGCTGCAGGTTATCGAGAGCCTGGAGAGTTGGGAGTAGGCTTGCAGGTGGGCTTGCAGGTGGGCTTGCAGGTGGGCTTGCAGGTGGGCTTGCAGGTGGGCTTGCAGGTGGGCTTAAAGGTGGGCTTAAAGGTGGGCTTGCAGGTGGGCTTGCAGGTGGGCTTGCAGGTGGGCTTGCAGGTGGACTTGCAGGTGGGCTTGCAGGTGGGCTTGCAGGTGGGCTTGCAGGTGGGCTTGCAAATGGGCTTGCAAATGGGCTTAAAGGTGGGTTATTGGTGAGAACTTGCAGCGGAATTATCTGCGTAGCGACTTCAATGTGAGAGGCGAGATGCCATCGAAGAAGCATGGGAAGAAAGGCACCGAGGGGTGGCGATGGGGCAGGTGGAGCAAGGGGCGTGATGCCACTGGGGTGGGGTGATGGGATGGGATGGGATGGGTGCATGCGGTGTGCTCCTTATGCAGACAAATAGTATTTGCCGCGTCATCACCCCGTGTTATGATGCACCATAGCGGACGGAGGGGGGATAGTAGAGGACCTGGCGGAGGACGAGGTGCGTGAGACGGGGGGGGGGGCAGGGGAGGGGGTGGGAGAAATGGAGGAGGAGAAGGAAGAGATGTGTGCGCAACTCGTGCAACTCTCTGTTGGAGCATGGAGACAAGGCAGGAACAGAGGGTGGCTTACAGCCGCTTGATTGCGAGGGACAAGGCGCCCTGGACGGAGGTGCTGTTGATGCCAGCCGTGAAGTATGACTCGGGTGCTGACAGGTCAGGGATGGCTACTGTAACGGGGACACGAAACGGAGGGAGAGAAGAAAGTGGTATGACAGAGAAATACAGCGACGGAGACAGAGGTGCAAGAAGGGCTTTTTGGTCAACTCGAAAGTATTGTCGAGGTGGCAGGAAGGTGGGAGTAGGGTTCACAATAACGAGAACAGAAGGTACGTCAGCACCAAGCGAACATTGTGTCTAAGAGGTGTTCGTTCATAACAAACTAAAGCATATTCAAATGAAACGCGAGTCACAGCAACGAGATGGACGGGTATTGCGGCAGGCCAAGGTTGGTTAGCTTACGCGCATCCCCTGGAGGCATGCAAGGTGCACTTCTGGCTGAGGCGCCTAGAACGAGGATGAACGCGAACGCAACTGAGGGGAAGGTGAGGCGGTAAACGAAGAGGCAACAAGGAGGGAGTTGCGAAGACCTTTTCATGCCGCAAGAATCCGAGCGTAGGAGTGAAGTGGTGAAGAGAATCGGACATGGAACGCTCCAACTACCCTGCCTGCTACGTAGGGAAGGGAAGGCTTGCCAGTGGGCTGAACAAGACGCGAGTGAAACGAACGCCCACGATGTAACAAACACACTCCGAGTCAAGCGAGCAGCCCTCGATGGCCCGAACACCCTGACTGGCGCGCTGCACGTGGTCACCTGAAATCAGAGAAGCAGCTGCAAACTCTCCCATGCTGAAGGACAAGTCAAGGGATTCTGCAGTCCAGTGTTCCAACGGCTCTCTGCTGTGCTGCTGAGCTGCTGTGCTGCTGTGCTGCGGTGCTGCTGAGCTGCTGAGCTGCTGTGCTACTGTGCTGCCGACACGGCTTCGTCCAGCTCAATGACAATGGCCGGCTGCAGTGTGAGTGTGAGTGAACATGAGACCAAAGGTTGCCATGGTTAGCAGAATGAAGGGAGCGTGGGAAGCTTTTTGACAGGGAATCTGGAAAATGTTTTTTTATCTGTAAGAGAATCTGGGCTCCTTGAATGGTAAGACCTGGGAGCGAGAAGGCCGCCTTGTGAGTTCCTCGCTGAAGGCTTCCTCTGAACACGCTCCGATGCCTTAAAACGGGCAGCTCCGACGCCTTAACGGGCAGTTACGCTGGCGACGTTTGGCAGAAGAAATATTTTGATTGCATTTGAGGGTAACGCTGAGCAATCTCTGCGAGAATTTACAGCTTAGCGCACAGCACGCGGTTAACGAACGAATCTAGTGCACGCGGATAACGAACGAATCTAGTGCACGCGGTTTCACGGCTCGTAGGCTTCTGGGTCCTTAGAGCGGCGCAAGACTCGACGCGAGAAAGAAATCACGAGTGCACGAAATTAGACTGCTTAGTGCCGGGGTTGCGAATAGGTCGGGATGAGGATGATTATTTGCAGAGGTCGAAGCAAGACTACGTTTGACTCAACTCAAGAGCCATCGCTGTGTGGTTTTTTCCTACTTGGAGTTGGCCGATGTGAGATCGCACACAGATGTCGTAAGAGTGGCGGCAAGATTGCCATTGGCTGCTGCTGCCGCCGCTGCTGCTGCTGCTGCTGCTGCTGCTGCTGCTGCTGCTGCTGCTGCTGCTGCTGCTGCTGCTGCTGCTGCTGCTGCTGCTGCTGCTGCTGCTGCTGCTGCTGCTGCTGCTGCCGCTGTGACCATCAAGGCTGGAAAATTCCATGTTGGGAGGAGCTGGGGGGGGCACGGATGGGCGTGTAATGCCAGCAATACAAGGCGACGAACGACCGCGAAGAAGAGAAAGACGCGGCAAGAAGCTGGAGGAAAGGGAGAGAAGAAGGGAATGGTTGGTTTGGGGGGGATGAGGTGGAGCAAAATTATACGCGATAAGGCGACGATACGAAGTGGAGCAACAAGATACAAGAACGCACTTCCAAATCCATAAATCTCTTAGTGCTGGCTTTTTCCGAACCTGCACTTATCCGCGTTATTGTATTCCTCGTCCGTTTTCGAGCACACCAGCACTTGCACGCAGATTACACATTCCAGCTTGCGCTGTTGGCTGAACGCCTCACACCAATGCAATCAACCTTCGATCCACACATGGAGCAGATCGCACTTCTTTCTTGCGTGCGTTTCCGCGTCCTCCGCTATCCGCTGACTCGATCTACCTCTCGTCTCAGCCATTACCCTCGCATCCCCGGGCAGGCTCTCGTAACCACCGTCCCTCGCACGTGTAGAATCCCTCTCTGATCCCCCCTCTGGTTTCCCGATCTGGTTACCCTCTCTCTTCGCAACAATGCAGTACGCCGACGGACTCGTCGTGCTCGCCATCTCGCTCGTCGCAGCCCTCCTCTGCGAGTTCATCTCGTGGGTATTAATCTACCGCACCGCCAGCTACCGCGCGTTGACGCAGAGCATAGAGAAGACGACCCGCCGCGTCGAGACGATGAAGGAGCGCCAGGCGGGAGCGGCGGCGGCGGCGGCGGGGCGGAAGAGCGCGTCGCGGAAGATCGGGCGGTTCGAGCAGAGCCTCAAAGACTCGAACCAGGCGCTCAGCCGAGCCAAGTTCCAGGTGCGGGGATCAGCCGAGCCTAGTTCCAGGTGCGGTGATCAGCCGAGCCTAGTTTCAGGTGCGGTGATCAGCCGAGCCTAGTTCCTGGTGCGTCGTCAAGGCATGTTGAGGCTGTCATGGCGAAGGGGAGTGTGATATTGTGATCGCGCTAAGGGTGAACCATGATTGGCACGAATCGCTCGTTCCCACCACCCTCTGTCAACTCCCACGCACCTTCTGCTCTCCATTTGCTCTCACTCCTTGCCTCACTCACCGCCCCGTGAATGAGGCTACTCCTCAACTCCTCTTCCATTTCCCTTCTCAGTCCGCTTTCATTCCCCTCACCCCTCTCTCCCTCCCACTTCCTGTCGTCGCTTCCTCTTCCACCTTCCTCCCCTCCGTTGCTCGCACACACACCCTCTCTCTGTCTACAATGCCTCTGCCTCATTCACCATCTTTCCCGTCCTTTTTCCAATCCCTTCTTGCCTATTTCCGTCTCTCCATCGTCCCACTTCCCCGCCCCCTCGGTCTGGGGCAGTGGTGGCAGTCACGCTGCTCGTCGTCTCTGGTCTCCTCAACTCTCTCTTCAACTCCTCCCACCCATTTCTCTTTTCTCCCACCGTCTTCCTCGTCTCTCTCTCAATCCCAGGCAGTGGTGGTCGTGACGCTGCTCATCGTCTTTGGTCTCTACGATCCAACCATCTGTTGTCTCATCCCGTCTCTTCGTCCTCTTATCATCGCCCCCACGCCCCCCTTCCCCTTCCCTCCCCCAGTCCGGCGCCGTGGTGGCGGTGACGCTGCTCATCGTCTTCGGGCTTCTCAACTCGCTCTTCGATGGCAAGCCAGTCGCCAAGCTGCCATTCACGCCCTTCGCATTCATCCAGGTGCGCCCTTCGCATTCATCCAGGTGCGCCCTTCGCATTCATTCAGGTGCGCCCTTCGCATTCATTCAGGTGCGCCCTTCGCATTCATTCAGGTGCGCCCTTCGCATTCATTCAGGTGCGCCCTTCGCATTCATTCAGGTGCGCCCTTCGCATTCATTCAGGTGCGCCCTTCGCATTCATTCAGGTGCGCCCTTCGCATTCATTCAGGTGCGCCCTTCGCATTCATTCAGGTGCGCCCTTTCCCAACATGCCACACTGCGGCTGACCAGGCGACAACCCCACGGACTGCCCAATGATCATCCTCCACATGCTCTGCTCGCTCAGCATTCACTGTCCACTCTGCTCTCCCACGGACCCTCTCCCCTTCATCGCGGCCTACCGGGAGACAACCCCATCGACTGCGCCCTCTTTCCCTCCTGTCGTCTTTCCCTCCTGTCGTCTTTCCCCACTCACCCTTCCTTTCCCCACTCACCCTTCCTTTCCCCACTCACCCTTCCTTTCCCCACTCACCCTTCCTTTCCCCACTCACCCTTCCTTTTCCCACTCACCCTTCCTTTCCCCACTCACCCTTCCTTTCCCCACTCACCCTTCCTTTCCCCACTCACCCTTCCAGCGCAACATGTCTCACCGCGGCCTGCCAGGCGACGACCCCACGGACTGCTCCATGATCTTCCTCTACATGCTCTGCTCCCTCAGCATCCGCCCCAACCTGCAAAAGCTGCTCGGCTTCGCGCCGCCCCGCGGCGCCACGCCCAACATGTTTGCTGGGCTGGATGCAAAGAATAAGTAGCCGTGGGGGGCATGCTTTAGGACTGGGTGGGTGGGGGGGATATGTAGGATGTCATAACAACGAGCTGCTCAGCTTTGCTCCTTCCCGCGGGGCTGCCCCCAACATGCCTGTTGGCCTCGATGCCAAGCTCAAGTAGCAAACCTGTCGACTGCCAGTGATCCAGCGTGTCTGCTCGCTCAGCATTCGCTCGGCTTCGCATCGTGCCACGGCGAAACTCCCAAAAATTTGGAAGGCTGGATGCCGAGACTAGCGTCCTTGACGTAAATGGTGATGGTGCTTGTTTTGTAAGCCGTTCCTGTCAGCAAGTGAACCTGGAAAGTGGGACAATTTTGTTTTGGCGGGTCTAAAAGCGTGTTCCTACCAGCCCCTTCCCAAGCAACCTCGTCCAGGACTCGCGTACAGGGCCCTAAATATCCGGATAAAATGCCCTGATTAAGGTACTCAGATTTTCAGGGTATTTTTTCGAGCTAGACTGATTTTTCAGGGTTTGCAAATTGCAATTTTACAACCCTGATTCAAAAAGTGTAGCAACTTTTTTACCCTTCGAAAACCAGGGTTTGCGACCCTCCAGCCCTGATGAAGCAAGGCAGCAAGGCAACTACCCTTAATGCTCTGTCTGGCCAGCCAAAATCAGTGCCAGATCAGGGCTGACGTTTCAAAAAAAGGCACTCTGAGCTGACCCCCCCAAAAAAAAAATAGTCTGAATGGCCTTCAGCCAGAATTTAGGGACTCTGAAATGTCAGAGTCCAGGGATGTGTTAAAATTATATAAGTTATAATTTATATAGGCTTGGTAGGTTGCTACTGAACCTTTCTGTAGGGGGTACAAACCCCTCCTTGTACTCCCTTCTCTTCCTAATCCAACTCTCTTTCTTCTCGACTTTCCTCCTACTCCTAGATCCGTTTTTCCTAGCGCCGTTCCATGGCGGCCTTGCTCCTATCCTAGCTAAGCTAGTGTCCTAACTTTAGGGACCTAGCATCCTAAGTTCTTTACATGGTATCAGAGCAGGAGATCCTTCCTGCTGGACTGCCTCCTCTCGCTTCCGCCATTTACTCCTCACCCTCATTCACTCCAGCGGCCATGGCGGCCGCGTTTTGCTGCAGTGGCGACGTCGCGCTGCCACTGGGCGCGTCGTGCCGCGACCGGCCCGACGCGCTGCCGCGGAGTCGGGCCGCCGTTCTGCAGTCGCAGCGTCGACGCCCCGCTGCGGCATCGACGCTGCCATGGCGGCCGCGGCGGCGTCACGCTGTGGCGTCGTCGTCTGTTCGCCGGCTGCACCGTCCTGCCGCGGCCGTCTCGACACGCGACCGGGACGACGTCAGCGCGACGCCGCGGCTGCGCCCCTCCTGGGCCTCGTCGCGCCCTGCCTGGCCTCATTGCACCCGCTCGGCCCCGTCGCGCCCTGCCTGGCCCCGTCGCCCTCTGCCCGGCCCCGTCGCCCCCTGCCAGGACGCCGTCGTCCCGCCTGTAAGCGCCGCGCCATTTATGGCGCGACGCTGAAGACTCGCCCCGCCCCCCCCCCCCCCCCCCCCCCCCCCCCCATTCTCCCTTCCCCCTGCGTCTTCCCTTCCTCCTGTCGCAGCTGCTGTCTTCTGCCCGGACGTTGCCACATCGCCGAGAGCCCTCAGCCGCGGCAGTCGCCGCCTGTCGTCGGCGACCCAGCCGCCTTGAGCCAGAGCTCCGCGGCTGCTTGTCGCTGACCCGCCTAGATGCCGTCGGCTGCCTCGTGTACGGGGGTGTGTCAACGCTTTGCCTGAGGGTCAGATACCCGGCTAAGCACGAGCCTGAGGGTGTGCGGGGTTAGGGGGTGGGTTGGGTGCGGGTGTGGGGGTGTGAGTGGGCTTGACACTACCAAGCCTAGGGGGTGTGTTAAAATTATATAAGTTATAATTTTATATAGGCTTGGTAGGTTGCTACTGAACCTTTCTGTAGGGGGTACAAACCCCTCCTTGTACTCCCTTCTCTTCCTAATCCAACTCTCTTTCTTCTCGACTTTCCTCCTACTCCTAGATCCGTTTTTCCTAGCGCCGTTCCATGGCGGCCTTGCTCCTATCCTAGCTAAGCTAGTGTCCTAACTTTAGGGACCTAGCATCCTAAGTTCTTTACAGGATGTGCAACTCTGAAATTCTCAGGATCGCGCAAATATATTCAGGGTAACATTTTATGTTATTAAGAAGAGCTCTTTCTTGTGTATTACATTTTGCTACATTGGACAGGAGCCTACAACTACTACTACCAAGCAATCACTAGCTAACAGGCTCCTAGAACTCCGGCACATCTACAGTAATCTCATCATCACCCCCCTCATCGTCGGACAGGAAAGGGTCGTCGCCTAATGTTGGAGCCGCATCATTCTCATCATCACCCCCATCCTCCTCAGCCCACCCCTCCCCCACGTACTCTGGCACCTCCCCCTGTCCTTCATCCGTTGTGTCCCCCGCCACCTCACCCTCTAGGGCCTTCCCCTTGCGTTTTCGTTCCGCTCTTGCGAAGACAACAGATTGTGCTGGCCGTCTCAGCTTCTCTCGCCAGGTCGCTAGGGCTTCGGTCCAATTGATGTCATACTGCATCAGCGAGAGGCGCGCGTTGCAGAGTGAGCCACGGACCCAGGACTTAATCACATTCTGCCGAGAGAAGCCCCTCTCGCATTCGACGGTTGACAAAGGCAGCACGGCACAGGCCTGCCAGAGGCGCATCAGATTGGGCCAGCGCCTGACACGGGGCACAAAAACAAAGGCGGAAGAAAGGCAGTAGGAAATGCATACAGTGAAGGCGGATAACAAAAACAGAAACGACAATATGGTTGGACTTGCCTGCTCGAGTCCGTCTTCGTGAGGTAGTTTGCCAGGCCTTGGTGGAAACTCTCCACCTCATGATGATTCTGCATGATCGGCGCCCAAGTTGCGAGCTCCCTCTCCGCTGCCTTCACGTCGAAGCCTGGCAGCTTGTGCTCGAAGATGCTGCTGCATCCAAGCAGATACTCTCTCGTCTTCTTCTCGCGCTGCGCCCGTTGTCTCGGCCACTTCGCCGCCACCCAGAGCTTCGTCGGCGACATCTTGCGCAGATCCAGCATCCGCTCTTGTACGTTGGTCATGGTATCCTTGGCGTGCTTCTGGCACAGCTGCACGCAGTCCTTGTAGCTGCTCCCGTACTGGTGCTTGTCGAGGTGCCGCTCGTGCATCTTGTACGTATGGGTGACGGGGTTCCCCTCCAAGTCGATACCGCGCACCTTCACCCGCTTCGTTCCGCCGCGCCCGTACACCGTGAGGAACGCCGAGAGCCAGGTGTTTTCAGCGCCGACACCGAAAATCTCCCCGAAGTCGACATAGCGGTGCCGCAGATCCCCCAGTGTCGCGTCGATGTCCGTTGCCACCTCTGTGACATCGACCTGCGGTGTGAGGGGGGGGGGACACAGAGGAGGGAAAGACATGAGTACTTGCACCAGAGGAGAACACCATGCTTGCAAACATGAGCATCTTACCTCTCGCTTCTGAAACTTGAGGTTGAGGTCGTTCATGAGTGCCAGCATGTCGGCCAGGTAGAAGAGGCAAAACTGAAACTTATACGAAATCACAACCTCATACAGGGGATGCTCATACTCATACAGCAGAACAATCGCAGCACCCAACACTTTACACAGGCGTCGGATTGCCTCTCCCCTGGACAACCATCGAACTTGATGGATGCCTTGAACCTCAAGGTTGGTGCTGTGAATCGCCCGCTGCAGATGCTTGAAACGACTGCTCCATACGCTCGACTGGCCGAGAAGGTCCGCAAGGGTGCGAGTGACTTTGTCGACCATGTCGAGGTCTGGACATGAAGCGGCAGCATCCTTCACAGCAAGTGCTTCTCTGCATGTACCGACATGGGTAGTGGTTAGCACACAGAAACATAAAAAGCATAAACAGACAGCAAGGAATACTTAAACAAACCTGTGGGCGATGCAGTGGGAGGAAAAAAGGTGCGGGATGATGTCTCGCAGTCGCGCCACAAGCCCGTTGTCTCGGCCGACCATCACCGACGCGCCGTCTGTGCTGATGTCAACGATGCGTTGAAGGTCGATGCCGGACGACTCCAGGTGGGCTAAGAGAGTGGCCATAAGAGAAGCGGCGTCGCACTTGTCAACGTTTAGCAGGGCTAGGAATTCGGTGACGACTCGACGCAGCCGCATGAATGTGATGTAGACGATCAAGTGCTTTCCCCGCGTGCGGTCGGTGCTTTCGTCGCATGAGATGCCGAGGTAAGGTGAGCTCTTGATGTGCTCCATCTGAGTAGCCAGCAGATGCGTAGAGAGACAGTTGACCATCTGCTGGAACCCGTACCTGCAGTGGCATAATCAGAAGTGAGACACTGGTTAATTAGCATTGGAAATGCATTGAAATTTACAAGGTTCATATCAAAATCCAACCATCAACCGGCGAAAGCCAGGTAGCCTTACCTGGTGAGATACACTCCGTACGACTGGAGAGGTATGTATGGTGTGTCTTGCTCTGCCATGAAACGAAGCAGCCGGGGAAACATGGCGATAGGAGCATCGTTCTTGCAAAGAAATTCCACGCACCGCAAAAGACGGATGACGCGGCGGCCTTCGACATCGACAGTGGCGAAGCTTGTCATCTTCTGCTGCTTGTCTTCTATTTCCTTTTGAATCTCGAGCTGCCGGCGAACTGCCGCTTCGTGGACTGTCGAGTGTTCATGAATGCGCATCGTCTGTGTCTGGAGATCTCGCCCGCCGTCGCCTGGCCTTGAATACTTCGTCGTTTCTTTGCCGAAGGCTCGGCAAACGCTGCACTTAAGAGCGGGGTAGCCATCTTTAGTACGGGTAAGTACAAGCCATGGGAAATAACGCAGCCAATCATTCTTATACTTAGCCTCCGCGACTAGGTACTTCTGCTCGATCAATCCCTCTGTACTTAGCCTCGGTGGCGGCGGTTCATCAGGGCGGGTGACGGGGGTAGGTGAGCGCGGTGGTGAGGGAGGGCGAATCTGGCCACCATGGTTGATACGCTGCTGTGTATACTTCGTCGTACGTTGTTTCTTCGCCGAAGAGACAGTCGATGCGCAGGGCACACTATAACGAACGGTAGAGGCAGTGGCGCAGTCAATAGGATCCACTGGTCCTCTGCTAGAAGATGCTATGGCTGGTGGGAGAACGAAGGGAGCGGGGGCAGGTCTACTAGGCAACGATGGCTCATCGCGTGGGGTCTCGTTTACAACGGTTGTGGCGACAAAAGGCGGAGGAGCCGATGCGGCAACGGGCCGCAAGACGTCTAGGGCGCTCCTTGGCGCAACGACAGGAACCTTACTGCTGCTCGGCTCATCACCGTCAGCTGGAGCATCGTCGTCGCCATCCTTTTCAGGCATGGCGAGAGGAGAAACGACGTGTATGAAATGAAGACAGTGACTACAACTACGCCTGTGTCGAAATGAACAACATGAAGGATTTCCCCTCTAAAACCTGAAGCAGTGCG